CCCCCCCGAGAATTAAAATGGAGAAAAGTATTTTACCCCGTTTCTATCATCTTCTATCCAACCCTATGTATAGACTTCATGAATATAATACTGAGCAGATATTCTGATCTCTTACTAGGTAATCAGTTCATTGCCAGCTTCCTATTCTGTGCCATTCTCATAAAATCAACACAGCAAAACACATAATAGGAATTTTAGCCATCAACCTGATTATTCAAGTTAGATAAAGGTAAGTGGACAGATCGTGTCCAGTTCTCAAGTGTCCCATATCCATTGAGAGACTGATGCAGGACAGATTATATCCTCTCTATGAAGTGGTCTCTTTGCTAGATAAAGTGATCTCTTTTTTACTATTCCTTTTTCTGAATATAGCATGGAGCAGCATCATTAGGACTGAATTACACAGCTCTCAGATAGCAAACCCAGAGGAATACTGTTTAAATGACAGAAATTACTGTACATTACCACTTATGCAGATTAGTGCAAAGCTTGTCTCATGGTGTGTGTCCTTCAGCTTCAAGGGAGCCTGTTTGAGTCCCTTCTCACTTGTGTTAGTATAAATCTAGAGTAATTTAATGAAAGTCAATACATCATATCTGAATACATGTCTGCAGCAGGGAAATCTCTGCTCAAGGTTACTACTTCATTAATTTCTGATTCTTTACAGCTGTTGAACTGCTGGTTAACTTACCAAAACATTGCACATCTAGAAGTTCAGGCATTAAAACGACACTAACTACATCAAAAGCAAAGGAGAAATGAACTGGAAATCCATGAATTAATCCTTTCCGACAGGCACAGGAAATTATAGCATGGCTAGGACATGAAAAACTAATTTCCATTGCTCTTTTGTTAAGATGATTCATTTCTTCACTATCATGCTTTACTCCTGTCAAAACCACTTGCAAATAAAATCTCTATTTGCAGGCATTTAAAATGTTGAAACCTTGGATGTGCAGGATTGAGCAGTCATATGACTTTAAATCCATTTGTGCATTGGAGTCTTCAGAAAATAGCAGTTTTGTTGTGTTTTAATTCTGGTAGCAAGCCAGCTGGGGCCAGAAGACCATAACATCTACTTTGCAGCTTTAATGACTCCCACAATGCTCTCCTTAGTCATTCTGGGACACCATTATCTAGTGTGCTATGGGCACTCAGCATTTCAATCAAATCTAAACATCTTACCCAAGACTGCTCAGGTTAGTATCCACCCCAGTAGACCCAAAAGCTCTAGTAAAAAGTCACATATCTTTTGATCATGGGATATTTTGCTACTAAACGGAAAAGAGGTGCTCCCATTACAGCCAATCCTAAGAGCAGGCCAGTAGTCAGCATAGGAAGTCAAAATGTCAGCCCAACTCCAGTTCTACACGAGTCAGGCTGAGCAGCATGCTAACAAATGAGCTGCTTTTTCCATGGTAAAAGAACATCTTCCCTTCCTTGAATTTTGACCTGGTTTTGATTTAGTTCGTCCCTTCTTAGTGAAACTGGAAGAAACAAATCTGCAAAAGGTTTTGGGTTTATTTTCTAAAGCAAAGCCACTTTGTCACAGAAGTCCTAAGATGTTCTTAAAAAGCCATTTAGGGAGAAGGCAACACACAAAATCCTGCAATGCAGAGACTGCTGTTCGCTGCTTAGTCAAAAGAGAAAAGGGAGCAAGCCCCACAGAGGGCAGTGTGAGCTCATCCATCCTGTGTCCCCGGGCGGGGCCAACCATCTCCTCCTTCCACACACATACACTGGCACGACGACAAAAAGGTATTAGTACCTCTAAAAGTTTCGGGTAATTATTTTAGCTGCTGCTGCACTAACGCTTCCACTAATCTCCAAAAGCAAACTGCTCTCAGCAGCAGCATCCTCCTACCGCTTTCGCCCAACGATGTTTTCTTTCCCCTGAAGAAAGCTTTCCAGACTGAGAACATTTGTTTCTACTTTGAAGGGTGCTACCTACATGCCAGGACTCACGTCTACTTGGAGGTCTCCTAATGCCTTTGGCTTTGTGGTACATAAAGCTGTGGTCTTCCACCAGTACAAACGTGCTCTGAGTCACAGGTTAGGTCCTAAATCTGCCCAGCCTGTTCTTAGATATTTAGCTGACAAGCTAATGCTGAGGAAACAGACTGTTTCTGTATGGCTGGAGAACATTTAAACACTTACACAGAGGGGCTCCACCAAAACCAGAGAACGGAGCCGAAGATGAGGAAAAGGAGAGCCTGAAATTTCAGGTTCAGTTTTCTGTTTTAGATTGAAGGTTCGGGTCAGTTCATACTTTACCACAGAGGTTCGGGTCAGTTCATACTTTACCACAGAGGTTTCACCCATCCTCAAAATGATGAGAAAGCTTCAAAGGGAGCTCTAACAGGCATTAGAAGTACACAGAGGTACACCACAGAACTCAATCAGCTTTTTTTACTGCTTCTATCCAGCTCCTACTCCCTCGGACAAAGCAAGCACAGGGTAGTATGGAGTCAAAGAAAACCTTTCAAATGTAATAGTTAGCTACTCATGGAATATAAATCCTTGCACAAAAAAATACACGAAGCTGAATAATTTTACTTTCATCCAAATTCATACAGTTTGAAACAGAACTCAAGTTACAGCGGTTTACACTCATCACAGAGCAGTATCACCACTACGGGGGGGTTTACTGGATGTTGATAGAGCAATACTGGTGATATATAAATAATTCCCACTGCTATTATTTTATTTCCAAGGCTTTACAATATTGTAGTCAAATTAGTTATACTCTTAGTCTTCAAATCTTGATTTTATAGAAGTCACAGAACTACAACAAAATATGTCCATTAACCACACGCTGATAAATACATGCACATACCATTTAATTCAAACATACATGAGAAAATGTCTCACCCAATTAATGGAAAAATACTTCAGCTGGACAAGGGCAGTAAGTGACAAAATGATATTATTAGGATAATTTTGCAGACACTTTTTATTCCAAAAAGTTGTATTTTTGTAAACCTGACATTTCCAAAACAGTGCAAGTGAATTAGAATACAGGTGAACATGAGCTTCTAAATACAGGTGACATAGTAGGTGTGAACACATTCTTCCAACCACAAGTTCACAAAAAAGAAACATACAATTTTACAATACATAAGGAGTGACATTCTAAGAAAAAGGAGTGACAATGGTGTGAGTACCCTACTGCATACACAAACCACGCTTCAAAAGCAATTATAGTCTTCGTGCCAGTTTACTCAACGTACGCTGAATGAACCAAATCCTACTTTCATTTATATCCAAGAAACCCTAGCAAGTGGATGAACTTGCACAAAGGTAGAATTTAGTTCCATGACTCCCTTAATCCTTTAGTGAAAGCAATATTATACATTCCCACGCCACATGGATACTGTGCTTGAAACTCCAAATATGCCCAAATAAACTGAAGACATTCAAGAAAGTTAATACTAAATATTGCCAAAGACAATCTTGGCACAACTGTTGCTCTCAGCAAGCTGTTACCTGCACATCACTGACTTGTATGTAGGGTCCTTCCCATCCATGCATCAAGGCACTGTCCTCACTGGTATGCTCGGCACTGCAAAAGCCTTTGCCACTTGGAGATGAAAGGATTGCTTAAGTGGTTCACAGGCTTGAGGTTCACATCAAGCACAATTTCTCTCTCAGATATTCCAAGTGATTTGTGAGGTGACTTCAATTCAGAGGCTGCTCCAGTATTTCCTAGTTTGCTGACTTCCCCATTGTAACTGAGCAAATTCAAAACTAGGTTTATTCAGAAAAACAGCTAGAATTTTTGTTAGCTACAATGGTCAAGTAGCAGAGCATACCAGTGACAGCCTCAGGGTACACTAGCCCTGCTGTTGCTTGGGGTGAACTGATGGAAATTCACCTCCAAAAGCAAAACATGCTTCTTATGGTCATAAAACATGCTGTGAAAGATGGCAAATGCTTTCAGCTCTTAGGAAGTGAAACTCATCCCTGTGCTGTGGGCCACCAAAACTCTGAGGTGACTGTGATCCTCTTGATGTCAAGATGGAAATTAAATGGGATTTCAATGGCACGGGCTCTGCATCAAGCAAACTTTTCTCTAATTTTTCTTCCCCTTTCATCCTGATTGTATTTTTCTGAGATTGCTTTCTTCCTACCCTAAAAGCAACTTCAAGGGTACTATCTGTAAGAAGACACCCTGCACAGTGCAAGCCTCAGGGCTTAAACAATAAGATCTCTCAGGCATCATTTGATGCATTTGAAAATGTTACTGCCCCGCTTCTAACCCTTCGCCTGCACACCTCAGAGCCAGTGCAAAATGAGCCCGCTGCAAAAAAAAAAAATGTAATGCCAATGCAGCAAACCCTTCAATGAAGTTGTCATGAAGCTGTCCAAGATAACTGATGACTTTGTCCCAAAATGGATTAACTGGAGAGAACCAGTACAATGCCTTCCCCCGGCTCTGCTGTACAAGCGGTACAGCACAGTGGAACCACTGAGCAGCCGACAGACAGACAGGAACTGCCACAACCCTAGAAGCAATTTCCAAAGTAACCATGTCCCTGGATTTTGATAGAATTACATTTATTGGGATTTCTTAATTTAAAAAACAAACCCAAACCCAAACAGCAGATCTATAGCACAGCTATTTGCTACACATTCTTGAAGTATACTAAGTTTTCATTTTTGGGTTAGAAACTGATTGCAGCCAACTGATATTAGGGGGGGGGGGG